ATTTCGTACCTTAAGACATGTGGTGCCAAAAAAAATCGTCCACTGAACTTATGCAAAACAAATTATTAAACGATATATACACAGCTTTGGTACAATCCGTTTTGGGGTACTGTATATCTATATGGGGGGTGCTTGCAAAACAAAATTTATCCACTTGGAACGTGCGCAACGTGGTTTAATTAAAAATATGTATTTTAAAAACAGAAGATATCCTACTACAAGTCTTTACAATGAAACACAGTTATTATCAGTACGAAAAATTTATGTACTGCACACAATATTAAAGAAACATAAGTCCCTATCTTTTAATCCAAATATTTTACAAAAGAGGAGAAAAGAATTAGTAGCACAAGTTCCCAATACTCACACGTTTTTTGCTAGAGTTCAGTATAGTAAACGCGCAGCAGAATTATACAACAAAATTAATAAACATGTAGGAATTTACACAATGACCCATTACGAATGTAAAAATGCAGTAAAAAAAGTATCTACAACCACTTGATTATGAGGAAATTGAGTCTCTCCTTGAAAAGTCGCTCATATGAATACTCAAATAAGTACAGCACGCACACACACACGCACGCACGCTTGCACTCACGCACGCACACACATCACACACACACACACACACACACACACACACACACACACACACACACACACACACACACACACACACACACACACACACACACACACACACACACACACACACACCACACAAGCATGCACGTTTTTATATTAGTTGTCTAAAAGTATTTCAATGATTTTGTTTGTGAAGTTGTGGAAGAGCGGAGCCTCCTACTACAGGCGCTCTGTGCTTAAAGGGAGGCTCTAGCCACTTATTTATGTTAAAATACCTTGTGATTTAAATAAAGAATTATTATTATTATTATTTACGGTAAGTGTTTTCACTTCTCAGCTCTAGGCTGGATTTCAACTACATTTACGGGCCGAAGCCAAAGCAAATGCAGCGTGTGGTGTGTAGTGTAGTTCATGTGATTTGATGAGGTCCTATTTCGTTTTCTTCTATCTGCATGAATTTCCTAACTATTCTGCATGTATTTAATATAGCTGCTTTTTGAAGTGTAATATATAGAGTTTCTTTTAGTTGTAATAATTTTAAGCTACGGAGGAGATGATTTGGGATGACACCTGTTGTGGAGAGGACTATAGGGACCACATATACTTTTTCTTGTTGCCAGATTCTAGTCACTTCATCTTTAAGTTCTGCGTACTTACAAATTTTTACAGTTATCGTCTTCTGCAAGTTGTGTGTGTTGGGGACTGCAATGTCTATCAGGTAAGTAATATTATTTATTTTATCTTGTAGAATTATATCTGGTCGGTTATAGTGGATTGTCCTATCGGTGAGAATGCCGCGGTCGTAAAAAAAGTTTATGTGTGGTGTTTTCTAGAGTATGTTTTGGTCTATAATTGTAGTACGGAGTGTTGGCATCTGGAATGAGTGCGTGTTTGAGTGCTAGTTTTTGATGAATGACATTGGCCACCTGGTTGTGTCTGTGAGTGTAGTCAGTCTGTGTGAGAGTTGTGCATGCGCCTGTGATGTGTTGAATGGTTTCTGGATGTGTGTGGCATTTGCGACATTTGTCATTATTTACTGTAGGATCTTTGATTATATATTTTCTGTAATTTTTTGTGTTTATGATCTGGTCTTGAATAGCTATTATAAATCCTTCTGTTTCTGGAAATAAGTTGCCTATTTTCAGCCACTTATTTGAAGCTAACTTATTTATGTGGGATTGCTCTAAGTCATGAGGGTGCCGACCGTGGAGAACTTTCTTCTTCCATTCGTCAATTTTGTGTGTCTGTGGGTTATTATTATTAGTGTTTTGGGATTCAATCTGATTGCTTAAGTTAAGTGGAGTGTAGTTAATATCATTCGTTACGATGGCTTTATGAATATTGCTAGTATGGGATTTTGTATAGAAGAATGATTTTAATCGACTAACTTGTTTCCGCCATAGGTGCTGGATATCCATTAGGCCTCTCCCTCCATGTTCTCGTTTTATTGTTAGTCTCTCTATGGCGGATTTAGGGTGTAGGTTATTGTGTTTCGTGAGTGTTGTACGTGTATTTCGCTCTAATTGTTCTGCATCAGTTTTGGACCATTTTATAACTCCGAATGAGTACGTTAATATGGGGATGGCATAGGTGTTAATGGCTTTGATGAGATGTTTACTTGAAAGTTGAGTTTTACAAATGGCGTTAAGTCTTCTCTTGTATTCCGTAGTGAGAGAATTTTTAATTCGTACGTGGTCAAGACTTTTAAGTTGTACATACCCTAAATATTTGTATAAGTCAGTCGATTCCATTGCTGTAATAGCCTCCGTTTCATTTACCACATAGTCGCCGGGCCTTACTTTGCCTCTTACAATGTGAAGTGTTTTACATTTATCTAAACCAAAATTCATATTAATATCGCTACTGAATTCTGTTGTTATATTTTTTGACAGTGGTAGAGCCACGCGGCAGCTTTGCTGTCGCACGTATGGGCCGGCTCAAACCGGGGTGGTACCACGACCTCACAGAATACCGGCGTGAAGTGGAAGCTCTGTTTCCGCGTTTCGTCTGGTGAGTGCAGGTGGCCGGAGGCCCAAATCCCCCCCCCCCCCATCAACATGGTAGCGGAATTAAATGATAGACTACCCCAGGAGGGTACCAGCACCCCTGGAGAATCCCTCGCTGAGCATCCACGACCATGTTTCTCCACTT